TGGGATGCAACTACTTGGAGGAGGCTGAGTACGGCCATGGTGGCTCACTCACTTTCTCTTGGGTTTTAGAGAGAGTGGGAGAGGACAGAGGAAGTGTGGGGTTTTGTTTATGTCAAAATGACAAAATTAATGGATGCTGCCAGTAACTCTCTTTACTTTTTGAGTACAGTGTAGGCGCCGATCACGTGTATCAGGTGCAAAAGTTATCGTGCAACAATCTACATGTCAGAATCTAACGAGATGATTGCGCAGGCAAGGAGATCTGATCCTAACCGGATTCGTTTTGTGAGGATTTTAGAAATCCTTTAATCGTTTTCATTCATCGTATATCGTATAATCAGTTTTCATCAAGTACTGTTTGGGTTCAATTTTAAATAAAAAAATTTAAAAAGATTTCTGACTGCTACGATGAAGGACACGATTAAAGGATCCTTGGGATCTTCACAAAGAAGATCCGGTGATGATCCTATCTTGCTGGTAAGGCTCGTAGGAAATGCATACTAGATCGGGGGAAACACGTGTCAAAATTTGGAAAGAAGGACTACCCAGACAAAGATTTTCCAGTAAGATCGGACCACAGATGGTACGCAACATGTCACTATACTAATTGTGGTTAATGTGTGTTAAAAAGCTTATAACTTAAAAAATAAAAATTTCCACCACTTATATAAAAACAAGTGGTGTACCACCCATATTACGATCACAATGAAAAATTTCTCTTCCCCAGATGGTGGAGGGTTGTTGTTTGGGTGCCATGAGGGTGATCGGCTTTGGTTAATGCTTCCCATTAGACCCAACAGATACTCTTAGGATCCTCTTTGTGAGAATCACGAGGATCCGTGAATCGTGTCCGTTTATCGTACATCATGCCGTCAATTTTTGTCAGGCAGTGTTTATGTTTAATTTGAAATAAAAAATTTAAATTTTTTTACCCCACGATGTACGATTATTGGACACGATTCACGGATCCCCAATGACATGCCCCTATCCCGATGTCCGAGGGATGTCAAGATGGCCACGTGTTGGTCGACACCCGAGGGTGACGCAAGTCATTTAATGAATGCATATGCCAAGAACATGTGAAACATACATATAAATTTCGCACGAACTACGCAATGTAATATTCCAACATAAACCTTATAATATAATATAATAATATTCATCTGCCAATAGTGATAATGATAGTGATAATGCATGACATGTTCAAAGCTCTAATTCAAAATACAAGTGGAAGATGAAACAAAAAGTCCTATTACAAGAATGTCTAGGCAGAAAGAATGACACGATATCACTGGTAGGGGAATGCCTCGTAGCTTGGATCGTATGCCTCGTTCCTATGTCTTGAGGGGGCAGTTATTGCGGCGTTTCCAGCTTCGCTAGTTTGCGTGGCTTTTTGACACCGGAGTATCTGTGAGTGGACCCCTTCTAAAATGCATGTTTTAATTGTAGAAATGCATACATGAAAAGTATGATTTAATGATTACGTTTTTGTGAAATGTTTTATAAGTAAATTGGATTTGCACTTATTGATTATCATGTTATACTGAGAATATTTTGGAATACCATATTTTATCGAACTGATGTTCTTTGTAGTATATATGATGAATGACTATATACTCCTTATGAACATGTTTTTGCACACATCCTTTTAATATATATGATGAATGACTATATGCTATGATGATGTTTTGAGATATATGTACCTATGTTTGGAAAGACCATGTTCAATGATTTTGTGTCTATCTAGTGGTCACTGTTCTGTCAACAGGCGAGGGAGATATATGGTTGGCAGGAGGTATATGTTGATGGCTTCGGGCCGAGAAATATTGATACTAATACCACTAGTTAGCACACGCTATACGAGATATGTTTCATGAAAGGTTTTATGGAATGCTAGGGTTTTCGGAAAACTTGTTACTTATTATGCTATGAGTTTTCATAAAACTTTTGGGGTTAGTATGTTGATAACTATTTCAGTATTATTATATATATCAACTAGGTCCACTCATGTTTGTTTTGCGCCCCCTCAGGACTTAGAATCGAGGCGTACAATCCCGGCATCAAGGCACTCCAACATCGGCATCTTCGAGTCTTCTAGATGTAAGACCCACCATTTTATTCATTCAATTTTATATTATTCCTTTTTAGTGTCTCATATTAGTTGTATGCTATGAACACGTTCCTCATTGGCATATTAATTGTATTTATAAGTCTTATTTATTTCTTGTTCTCATGCATTCTAATATGGCTTCGTCACATTCGAGTGTAGGCCAACACGTGTCTACCCTGGTGTTTGGGAGAATATCAGGGTCGAGCGTGTCACAAGGCCCATGGATTTGGGTCACAAGGGTCACAGATTGGGCTAGAGCCCCGTGGGTTTTGGGCTGGGTTCAAAGGACTTAGGTTGGGTTGACCCATTTTCAGGCCAATGAATTAACCGGTTTTTGGGCACCACTTCAAACACCCATCACTTCTTCATTACTCAACCAAATCAAGTGATCTAAAAATGAAAGTTATAGTACTCGATAAGATGAAGAGATTGCTTTTGTCAAAAAGAAGAAGAAGACGGGTGCAAGGGGGAAGAAAGAAGAGACATGTGGGCCCTAGTGGCTCACAATTTAAGAGTCAACAAGTCTCCAATTCAAAATAAAAGTCTCAAAGTAACAGTTTACGTAAAAACCCTTTTTGTCCCGTGAAAAAGCAGGACAACTGTTACATCTAGAATCCTCATAAAGAGGATCCAGATTCCCATTGGAGATTTTTTTTTTTTTTTTTTTTTTTTTTTTGTTTTGGGTCAGATTGAAGAGCAAGAATTGTTCTTTACTTCTACAAAAGGGAAACAAACTCCACCCTTTTAGTGTAGTTGAATTTTGCTTTAAAATTAAATTACATTCTTAAAGAGTGAGAATTGTTCTTGGCTTCTGCAACGAAAAAATTATGTTCTTTGTTAAAGACATAATTTTTTGGACGAAATGTGAAAGATATAATTTATTTCAAAACTTCACCCTTCTTCTGTAGGATGCAATAAAAGATTGAAACAGGCTCCCCCCTTTTATCGTGGTTGAATCTTTCTCTTTAAAATTAAATTACATTCTCAAAGAGTGAGTATTTCTTTGCTATTGTGACGAAAAAATTATGTTCTTTCTTAAAGACATAATTTTTTGGGTGAAATATGAAAGATATAATTGATTTCAAAACCCCACCATCTTTTTGTACGATGCAAGAAAAGATTGAAACAAACTCCACCCTTTTAGTGTGATTGAAATTTTTTGCTTTAAAATTAAATTACGTTCTTAAAGAGTGAGTATTGTTCCTTGCTACTGCAACAAAAAAAATATGTTCTTTGTTAAAGATATAATTTTTTGGGCGAAATGTGAAACATGTATTTGATTCCAAAACTCCACTCTTCTTCTGTAAGACGCCAAAAAGATTGAAACAAACTCCACCCTTTTAGTGTGGTTGAATTTTTGCTTTAGAATTAAAGAATATTCTTGAAGAGTGGGAATTGTTATTTGCTTCTGCAACAAAAAAATTATGTTCTTTGTTAAAGACATTTTTTTATGCGAAATGTGAAAGATATAATTGATTTCAAAACTCCACATTTCTTCTGTACGATGCCAAAAAAGATTGAAAAAAAACTCCACCCTTTGAGTGTGGTTGAATTTTTTGCTTTAAAATTAAATTACGTTCTTAATAAGTGAGAATTGTTCTTTGCTCCTGCAACAAAAAAATTTTGTTATTTGCTCCTGCAACGAAAAATTTATGTTCTTTGTTAAAGACATATTTTTATGGGCAAAATGTGAAAGATCTAATTGATTTTAAAGCTCCACCCTTCTTTTGTACGATGCCAAAAAAGATTGAAACAAACTCCACCCTTTTAGTGTGGTTGAATTTTTGCTTTAAAAATTAAATTACATTCTTAAAGAGGGAGAATTGTACTTTGCTTCTGCAATGAAAAAATAGTTAAAGACATTATTTTTTGCACGAAATATGAATGATATATTTGATTTCAAAACACTCATCCTTCTTCTGTACCTTGTGCGAAAAGATTGAAACAACTCCACCTTTTAGTGTGGTTCAAATTTTTCTTTAAAATTAAATTACATTCTTAAAGAGTGAATATTGTTATTTGCTTTTGCAATGAACAAATTATTTTCTCTGTTAAAGACATAATTTTTTTGCATGAAATGTGAAAGATATTGATTTCAAAACTCCATCTTTCTTTTGTTTGATGTTAGAAAAGATCGAACAAAACTCCAGTCTTTTAGTGTTGTTGAATTTTTTGTTTTAAAATTAAATTACATTCTTAAAGAGTGAGTATTGTTCTTTGCTACTGCAATGAAAAAAATTATGTTATTTGTTAAAGACAAAGTTTTGGGCAAAATGTGAAAGATATAATTGATTTCAAAACTCCATTAATCTTTGTACGATGCCAGAAAAGAATAAAACAAACTCTAGCCTTTTTAGTGGGGTTGAATGTTTTGCTTTAAAATTAAATTACATTCTTAAATAGTGAGAATTGTTCTTTGCTCTTGCAACGAAAAAAAAAATGTTCTTTGTTAATGACATAATTTTTTGGGCAAAATGTGAAAGATATAACTGATTTCAAAACTCCACCCTTCTTTTGTACAGATGCCAAAAGGATTAAAACAAACTCCACCCTTAGTGTGTTTGAATTTTTGTTTTAAAAATTTAATTACATTCTTAAAGAAGGGGAATTGTTGTTTGCATTGAGGAGTTATGCCAATCTCAGGACCCATTTTGGCTAAAAAGTCTTTCTAGTTTTGTGTTTGTATTAGAAGGGGGATGCAATAACATGGACAAATGTTAAGCAATCAACAATCACTTTACTCGACTATGTATGTATGCTTAATTCATAGGATGTTAGGGATGTCTTGAGATGCTGAAGATATGTATTAGGGTTATTTTTCATGGGCAAGAAATCTAATATTCTCACGCAGTCTCACCTATAAATGTAAGGCTTAGGTCTTCACTCTCATAAACAATATTCTAGCAAAAAAACCTACTCCATATAGGAGTGCATATTAAGGATTTCTCAAGGTTAGTACTTTTAGTGTGCATATTATAGAAGACTTACACTTTGATCTGCTGAAGCTTTATCTAATTAACGTCAACCTGCATGATTGCATTTGTTCGACTTTCAGGTACATGTTTCCCATCCAATTTTATTCCATCGTTCTGAACCCATGTCAAACTGTGATATCAGGAATATAAGGCTGCCTGCTTCTAAACGAATGTGCTAGTATTATCCTTTTTAAAAATACTTCAGAATTTGTTTCGTTGCAATTTGGTTCAGAATTTTTAAAGATATCTAGTCATGGAAAGTAAGAGACAAATTAACGAAGTTGATGATAGTCTTTCAGTTCTTATAGATGATGGTATTGTAGATGAATTGAGAAACAGCATCGAACGAAGGCTTCTCAGTGAAACACCAATGCCAGCAACCCGCTGCATCTTCAAAGTTCCCGATAAGATTCGGCTCAAAAAACCACAAGCATACGAACCTGACATCGTCTCAATCGGACCCTATCACAGTGGCCCCAATGGCAATTCTGGCAATAAATTCCGACTCATGGAAAATGTGAAGCACTGGTACTTGCACTGCCTTCTCTCACGCGTTAACATAACTTTGGCAGGCTTGATCTTAGGTGTCATGGATTTAGACAAACGCGCTCGCGACTATTACGCAGAGCCATTGGATCATCTCAAGAAGAAAGACTTCCTCGACATGATGGTACTCGACGGATGCTTCCTAATCGAACTATTTCGAAAAGGACCCCATCACTCCGACATTAACGACCCCGTTTACAGTGTGTCCTGCACTATGGAATATCTTTACCATGACCTTATCCTGCTAGAAAATCAGCTGCCATGGTTTGTTCTCGAGCGGTTATACAATTTAACTGCCGTGGAGAATACTACTCGCCAAGGAAATGCTCCCTCCCTCTTCGACCTTGTCCTCACCTTCTTCACAAAAATCATCCCGAACAAGCATGTTCTAAGGCCGAAACGCCCTCACAAAATCCTGCACATACTCGATGTCATAAGAGCCGTGATCGTTGCCCCGTTTGAAGCCCCGCCCAAAGAGGAGAGGAAGGATAGAGAGCTGCCGCAGACGATTCCAAACGTGACAACTCTGTCCAAAGCCGGCATTCAATTCCAAAAGGGCTCCAGTGGCTGCATACTGGACATAAATTTCAAAAACGGGGTGTTCACTATTCCACCACTACCATTCGACGAGACGACAGAGCCGCTCTTCAGGAATCTCATCGCCTTCGAGCAATGCCACCACAAACGCCGCCACAAAATAACATCTTACGCCGTCCTGATGGAGAGTTGCATCGATTCGAGCAAGGACATCGACCTTCTTTGCGACAGGCAAATACTGGGGAACTGGCTGAGCGCGCAAGACGCTGCACAGTTCTTCAACTTGCTGTACAATGACACGACGGTCGACGGATTCTACTACCAGGGACTCTGCGCTAAAGTGAATGAGTATTACAACTCTAAATGGAACAAGTGGATGGGAATGCTGTGGCGCGACTATCTTGATACGCCGTGGACGATTATTTCTTTGATTGCGGCGTTTATTCTGCTGGTTCTTACAACGTTGCAGACAGTATACACAATGAATCAGTATTATCATCCTCCTAAGTAGTTATGTTAACTTGGATGTGAGTTAAACAGAAATGTTCGGTGTGTTATTGTCTTGATTTTCTTTCGTTGCCAACGCTTAAGGCTTGGACATGTAATGGGTTTTTGTCTGAGTGTTAGAAACTTGTGAGAGCCACAAGTTTCGTCATTTGAAGTTTTTTTGGACAACCTTGTGACGGCTTGATCAAGTATCTTGTCCGACCACCAAATAATATGTTGTCACGTTGTTATATCTTGTATTGCTTATTGGAGATTTTGTTTGTTATGGTTGTTATCTGGTTAAGGTTAGACTTTACGCCCTCCGTGACAGATTGTATTTTCCTCCTCTTTTAATAAAACTACCTCGTTGTCGTCTTCTATGATGGCAATGCTGGAGTGAGATGAACTTTGTGATCTAGAATTATGTAATCGAAGTAGGGGAAGCTATATGACCTTCCTAATCAGACCTTCTCGTTTTGGCTCTCTTTATCTTCCTTCAATAACATGTGAGTGGTTAATAACATATCAATAATACGTTTGTTAGTATTAAATAATTAATAATGCATTGATATCAATATGTTCGTAGATATTGAATAGTCAGACTGACCACGAGCTTAGATACTTGTATGAAATATTTAGAGCACCACTGGATATAGAGAACAATTTTAGTAATCTGAACAGATCACCACCAAACCAAAGAGCTTGAATATAAATTCAAGGAAGAAGCTGCTTGCTCCTTTCGTTTATTTTTTCTGGTGGTTGAGACGGTTTTGCCGGTTGGCGCCAGACATTGGCCCATCCAAAAAAACATCTGTTGCTTCAAGAAAGAATTAAAGGAAAACTAATGAAAATGACTTGAAAACTTTGAGTTTTAATTATAATGACAAAATAAATGGTAAAATGAATAGTACGAAGATTGACTTTTTAGTGTAAAAATGTGATTTGTCGTAAAATAAACAATATCAGAAACATTTCGTTAAAGTTTCCTTAAATTAAAGTATGTCGGTCACTAAATTCCAATTTGTGTAGAAAAAGCCAACGACACTCCTGTCTCCTCTGTTTTTGGAGTTTTGTTTTAATTTGGCCGGTATTCTGAGATTCCTTTTATAAAGAGAAAATTGTTAGAATAATAGGATTAATTTTAGTTAAATGAGGAAACTCTTTCTTGTCCTTAATTTATTACGTGATAAATATTTTATTAGATGAGAAATGATAGAAATAATAATGAGGATATTTGAGATAAAATAGGAGTGATCGCAATTAAAAATAAGATGAGAGAAAATCGGTTAAAATGTTTTAGACACGTGACCGATCTACAAATGCTCTAATTAGAAAATGCAACTAGGAGATGAAGACTCAAGATAAAAAGAGTAGAGGAAGATCTATGAAGAGTTGGAGAGAGACTTTAAGAAAATATATGAACTACTTGGACTTAACCTAAAACCGAACACAGTAGCGTTCTAGTATTCATACAATTGATTTTACTTAGTAATATAAGGTTTGGTTGTTAATTGACATTACTGTGGCTGAGCATTATGATGCATAATAATTTTCTCTAGTTGTAAGTCGAAAATACTAAATTTAACACACAAGAATATTGAATTTGATACTTAAATATTAGGGAGTCTTACTGAAACACACCTGGTACTATTCACTTTTAATGTTAATGACATTTTTAATTAAAAAAATTACTCATGGTACTATTCACTTATAACACTATTTTGTTTTTGTGATTAAAACAAAAATTTTTGAGAAATTTTGGTTGGTTTTTTTTTTTAATATTAACGTCGTTATATTGAGTGAATCAGCTGAAATATTTTTTAAATAGAATATTGTTGTACAAAACATAGTCTTGCACACGTATTTACGAAGGTACGGAACACCTACGAACGAAGGCACTATCCCGGCCAGCAAGCTGGTTGGTCAACCACGACACGCGGCATTGTCTCATATGTTTACCACATTAAACCCAAGAACCCCACGCTTACCGTACACAACAAGAACACAACTTCCAGAAAGAAAAAGAAAAGGATTCTAAATAATGGAAAAAGGCAGCACAATACGAGCGCGTTTTCAAGCAATTTGATGGCCATGGAGACGGAAAAATATCAACTATGGAACTGCAACAATGTGTCAGAGCGATAGGCGGTGAGCTCTCGCTGACGGAGGCGGAGGTAGCGGTGGAGTACCTAGACTCAGACGGCGACGGGCTGCTGGGGTTGGATGATTTTGTAAAGTTTGTCGACGGAGGGTGCGACGAAGAGAAGGTGAGTGTTTTGAGGGAGGCTAATGTGATGACTTCTTCCAACAAGGACTCAAAAAACCCTTCTTAACAAAGACTTGAATAGATTGACTCTACAGTTTCAGTGTTGTTTATTCAAACAGAAGATGTAACCATCCAAATTGAATGTGCTTATCGGTCGCCCGAAGAGGTTTGAAAGGGTTTGTATAAAGCAAAAGTTTCTGCAAAGCAGATTTGTATGTTGATTTGGAGAGAGTTCTAAAATATCGCACGCAGCTCAGTATTTATAGTGGTTATATTTTTTGTTAAGCCACGCTGACTATTTTCAAATGTAAACTCCTTGAATGACGGTCCTTTTTCCCGAGTTGTAAGCGCAGGTGCATCCATGCAATTTATAAAGAATTCCAATTCAATTACAACAAAACCAGCTACGAGTAGAGAAATGATTTAATTTATAGGACATCACGGTCTTAACAGCCCAGTTTTTCATCTCTCATTCGCTACATTACGAACTCGTAGCTCTCATGCTGCAAGCCACGCGTGACAAAAATAACACTTAGACGACCAAAATTTCGAAACTAAGTCGGAACATTCAACACTCATGAACTCCAACCAAACTCTCTTAATTCCCACAGCTTAAATATACACTTACACTCCCGGAATGCATACGAAAAAACCAAGACGAAAATGACACAGATGAAGCGTAATCACGCAGTGAGCTTCTGGGAAGAATTGACAGCATTTATATGCCGAAGATGTAACGCAGCCAACAGCCCCTGCCTGGTTCCTCCGGGTGCGGCTTGGACCTGAAAATCGATGAGTTTGTTCTGTTTTCTGTAGTAATCTTCCAGCGACACGGTCTGAGGTAAGAGAGAAACGGATTACTACCCGTTTTTCAATGATTTTCTACTAACATTTTTCAATGGAAATAAACTGTCATATAAAACGGAACAAAGTCGAAATCATCAAACAGATATAAACGGAGGACAATGGCCATACCTGCTCTGCATCCGCAGGGGAAGACTTCAGTTCTTCCTTTGACTGCAGATTTAGATTTCGAACGGAGTTGCCCATGCTAAGATATTTCGGCAAGCAGAGAAGTTTCCGGTTCCTAGATTCTTCGTCACCAAGTTTTCATTTGTGCATTTCAACTTCACCACTAAATCAATATCAGCAATTTGGCCAACAATCTCCTGTAACAGGCAAAACATATAAAAACACTTGGCATTCAAATCTCCATCAAAACAAAAAAAATTCAAACTATCACAGAAATTACAAAAATTCTCCGAAAATATGCAACGGTTTAGGGGTTCAATTTAATTAAAAGTTTGTAACCAGTTCTATTTGTGCACATTGCATATTTCCCAAAATTCTAATCACAAACCATGAAGTAGAGTTTTGATTTTGTCATAGAAGTTAAAACTCACAGCTTGTGTTCGAGGAATCCCATCGAGGATGAACCCGTTTTCGCCGGCGATAGTATCCTTCTTCCAACCTCTTCGACAACAACGCAAATATCACTTCGTCCGGGACAAGCTTCCTTTCATTCACTGCATTCGCAATCTAAATTACCAAAAAAATAGAGAAAGCATTCAATTCAGAAAAATCCTAATTCTTGCAAAAGAAATTCAATTGGAATTAAAAACCAAGAATTTAACCTGCTTGTAGAGAGAAGAGCGAGGGTTGAGCTCCTGGCGGACGAGGGATCCCATAGAAATATGCAGAACTTCCAGCAGCTTCCAGAGCCTCTCGGCGTAAAGTGCTTCTTAGCACCTCTGTCTCCGATCAGCACCCACTGCACACCTCTTCCCGGGACCCACCCGTCCGAGTCCAGCATCCGATTCCGACTCGTCTTCCTCCGTTCCTCCTCTTCATCCTGATCGTCGTGGTAATGTCGTACTCCAACAGGACCAGTCAAGAGATTTTTGAGTTCGGGACGACTTCAAAAAATTTGCCCTTATTTCATATAAAAAATTATTTGTTTTTACACATAAGATATTAATAAATTATATTTAAAAAAATACTTCAAACTCAGTAATTTAGAAACACGGAAAAACTAATGTATTTTGTATCGAGAGAATGAAACCAAAAAATTTCAAGCATACAAGTCATAGGATTTACAAGTTATTTGAACTTTTAAAATGTTTTTGTATAAATTGTGAGGTGTTTTTTCTTATTTACTAATCTCGTCAATATAAAACTAAAAAGATAATGATATTTTCGAGGTTTTAAAGATATGTATAAGTAATGAATGGGCACCAAATTAAACCTTTTGATGACATGTCATATGATTTGCAAATTTGGTCTAAAAATTTAGTCTACGCATTACCCTTTATTGAAGATTAGACTTAAATTGGAACAGATGTTTAAAAATAGCAACCCACATGGTTATTAGCTAGTAATTAAAAATAAATTAACAACCAAACAAAAATTCATAAAATAAATAAATAAACATGCACATAACATTTCGAACTTAGGACCTCTCGTTAATTTTAAATACAAAAACCATTGCTTCTAATTAAACTTCTAATCATTTAGCCAAATTTTATAAATTTATACTGTTATGAAAAGAAATTTGTAAAAATTTAAATAAGCACACATGGTGTTTTAAACCCAAGACCTCCTTATTAATTTCAAACAACAAAATCACCAATTCTAGTTAAATTAATTTGTCATTAAACCAAATTTTATAAATTTATACTTTTATGAAAACATATATAAATATGCCACACTAATAATTTTGGTGCCCCTAATTTTTTTAGGTCTCGGACGATCGCCTTGCCTATACTGACCTTGGGCTGGCCCCGACTCCAACTGAGCCGCCGCTGATCCATAGGCTCGGTGCTCCAGATTCCCCAGACCGCGGCGCGTGATCTGGGACGCAACTACTTGGAGGCGGCTCAGTACGGACATAGTGGCGGCCGGCGGTGGCTAACTCACTTTCTCTAGGGTTTTAAAGGGTGGAGAGAGAGAAAGTGTGAGGTTTTTGTTAATGTTTCAATTGTCAAAGTCAATGGATGCCTGCGAGTGTGGGCGCAGATGAG